CTCTGGGTAATTACGTTCTTTGCATCCCTACAGCTAACCCCAAAAGCACTGACTGTCCAGAAGTACTGAAGTATTCCTGAAATCCTGGAGATATTCTTGTAAAAAGCATACTGTGGAAAAGAGCAGAATCTGATTCACAGACAGGGTAACTCCTCCCTTTGGGAAGTAGAGCAGAAACCACCAATATTAGCATGAAATGCCAGAATAGTTATGCTAAAGAGGAGGTCACTCAGAATAGAGACAGTGCCAGAAACTGAGGACTAAGGCATTCTGTCAGATATAAAACCCTAACAAGTACATGAACAAAGGAGGGTAAACAGTGCCGAAAGAACAAACTGTACAAACTCTGCTAGCTGCCTTGGGTACATTTTTGGAGATGGGGGTTGGGGACTAGCCACCTATGTGCAACATTTATTTAACAGGTAAAAGCGTGTTTGCTTTTTTAATTTTAATTAATTCTGTTAAAGTAGCTACAATTACATGTTAGCTTGCATTAAAAACTGAAATGAATTGAGAGCTCAGATACAAACACTTCAACGCTATAGAAATATTCTTGTCTTTCTCTCTTAAAGTGAGAGCTGATAATGCTCACAACGATTATAGCTGTGCAAATCAGGTGGGTTCCTGCTTTAAACAACACTAATTCATGCTGCCACTGTCCCCAAAAGAATTATGGAGACCTAAGCAAACGAAACAACTCCTAAAAATTTGCAGATATCACCAGTGTTGTGCTACATATCATAGCCAGGTCACCATACTCAGGAATGCTGTTGAGGATCATATGTGCAGGGATGACTGGTGCCTTAACAACAGTCAGAAAGAACTCGCATATTTTAACATTTTCTGACTTTATCACTTTTTTATATGAGTATCTCTAGTTCCCCCTCACTCTCAAATACTTCATAACAACTCACAAAGTGCTAATTAATTTCATCACCTTCATAAAACCTGACTGCCGCAGCTGGACACCTCAATTCTGTAGATACAGTAAAACAGGGAAGGTTAGCATTCAAGTTCTCTTTTTTTCCCTGCTGCCTTTGTTCAGGTTTTTTTTTCATTGCTCCTCCACTCATCCCTAGTGAGTCTGCACCTGGAGTGCTGTGTTTAGTTCTGGGCTCCTCAATATAGGAGAAACACGGAGCTCCTGGAGCAGGTCCAATGGAGGGCAACAAACGATTAAGGCATTGGAGCATCTCTCTTATGTGGAAAGGCTGAGAGAGTTGGGTCTGTTCAGCCTTGAGAAGAGATGACTGAGAGGGGACATCACCAGTGTATTTGAAGGGAGTGTCAAGAGGATGGAGCCAGGCTAGTCTTTGTGGTGCCAAGAAATAGGACGCAAGGCAATGGGCAGAAACTGATGCACAGGAAGTTCCACCTGAACATGAGGAAGAACTTCTATACTGTGTGTGTGACTGCACACTGGAAGAGATTGCCTGGAGAGGTTGTGGAGTCTCCCTCACTGGAGATATTCAAGGACCATCTGGATGCAATTCTGTGCAATGTGCTCCAGGATGACCCTGCTTGAGCAGGGAGGTGGGACCAGATGATCCACTGTGGTCGTTTCTAACCCTATCCATTCTCTGATTATTTACTTTTTTTTTCTTTTTTTAATAATAACTTGTAGAGCTTCCAGCTCCCTGAATGTATAAGCTGTTGTGGACATTGTGAAAACTTTAAGTTGTAGTATACAGCAAGGCAAGGCTTGACAGGATGTACACGGCGTTGTTGACCAGTAGTACAACCCCAGTGTGTCTACCCAGACCTCGAAAAAGCCTTTGGCACTGTTTCCCACAGCATTATCCTGAAGGAACTGGCTTAGATGGGATACTCTTCACTGGGTAAAAAACTGACTGGATGGCCAGCCGCTGAGAGTGGTGGTGAATGGTGCTACATTCAGTTGGCAGCTGGTCACCAGTGGTGTTTCCCAGGGCTCAGTACTGGGGCTTGTCCTGTTCATTATCAATGATCTGGATGAGCAGATCAAGTGCATCCTCAGTCAGTTCACAGACAACACCAAGCTGGGTGGGAGTGTTGATCTGCTGGAGGGTAGGAAGGGTCTGCAGAGGGATCTGGACAGGTTGGATCAGTAGGCTGATTAGGACAATTGCATGAGGCTCAACAAGGCAAAGTACTGGGTCCTGCACTTGGGTCACACTGACCCCATGCAGAATTACAGGCTTGGGGCTGAGTGGCTGGAACGTTGCGCAGTGGAAAAGGACCTGGAGGTGCTGGTTGACTAGGGAAGTCCCTGTACTAGCGAGGCCACACCTCAAATCCTGCATTCAGTTTTGGTCCCCTCAGGACAAGAAGGACATTGACATGCTAAAGTGAGTCCAGAGAAGGGCAATGGAGCTGGTAAAGGGCCTGGAGCTCAAGTCTTATGAGGAGCAACTGAGGGAGCTAAGGGTGTTTAGCCTGGAGAAAAGGAGGCTCAGAGGAGATCTTATCACTCTCTACAATTACCTGACAGGAGGTGGTACCAAGGTGGGAGTTGTTCTCTTCTCCCGAGTAACAAGTGACAGGACAAGAAGAAATGGCCTCATGATGTGCCAGGGGAGGCTTACATTGAATATTAGAAAAAATTTATTCACTGAAGGGGTTGTGAAGCACTGGAACAGACTGCCCAAGGAAGTGGCTGAGTCACCATTCCTGGAGGTATTTAAAAGGCATATGGATGTGGCATTCTGGGACATGGTTTAGCATTGGACTTGGCAGTGCTGGGTTAACAGCTGGACTGCAACGATCTTAGTTAGAGGTCTTTTCCAACCTAATCCATTCTACAGCTCCACAATTTTTATAAAATTGAACATTTTTAGTTTAGAGTAGGGTAAGTGCCTTGGATGAAACCTTTGGAAGCACAGATGACATTTTGGATGAAACAGCATTGCACCTGTTATTACTTCTCCACCTGGAGTCTACTGTTATCCACAACTACTATGTTCATTCCTTTTATTACTATATTTTTCTTCTCATTTAAAACAAACTACGTGATTTTAGCCAGTTTTACTGCTATTGAGCATTAAACTGCCTATGTACAAACGGACAGACCCAATGTTGTTATGTTATTTTAGTGGGACAACTTCAAATAACAAATATAATGTACTAAAATTCATCTTTCTAGGATTTATCCTTCATTTTGCTGGTGTTATTCAACCAAATCTGCCACTGGCTTCATCTGAACTTGGTTTGATTAAAATTTATTCTATAAACTTTACTGCAGCTGATTCCGTTAAATCTCTGTTCCCCAGCCATTTCCTTGCATCTGGACTATCAAGGACCAAAAAAAGAGAATCTATTCAAAAATATAAAAGAAGGGCTTATTTTTATGTATTTCACATTTACGTAAATATGAAAAATTTCTCTGCTATTATGATGTTAAAGGATTGGTTTTTAATTGACTGTATTTTTTATTTTAATGTATCAAAAATAAAACCCTGCAGCTTAATTCTCACAATAAATCTTGCACTTCTAACAGAGTTTAAAACATCATTATCAAACTGAAACCTAAATGAGCTGTGCTAACCTACATTTCCATGCTATTGCCCTTTCATTTTAAATACATTTTGTATGTTAAGAATATTTTCAATTTTCTGTTTAAAAGAATCAGAGAAGGCACTTACACCACTGAAATAACAATTTCAGGTGCAATTTAAGCAAGCAAATAACAAAGCAAATAACTAGAGCCTCAATGAGCTTTTTTATACAAATCACTAAGTCAAACCTTCAGGGTAAAAAAAGCTCATTTACTCATCAAGAAGTTAATCCAGTTTGTTCCCTAACTGGGAAATAGCTTTCCCTGCTTTTTTTTTTTTGTATGGGTACGCTATTCATTAATGAAACAAAAAAATCTTACCCAGGACTTCACATCTATTATGTAAGTAAACACTACACTTTGATGTAAAAATTTACATTGTTTACAGAATCATTTGAATTTCACATTCACATTACCACCTAGGAGACAAAAGAAATTTCTTTCACACTGCTATCTTCACTACCGTTTTCTTTGACTTTTTAAAACTAATTTGCCCTTTATATCAAAATCTCAAATCCAAATGCCACACATAGTAAGAACAGTAATTTTTTTTCTGTTTAAACTAAGCTCAGTGAAGTTCTGCAAAGCCACACCAATGGATGAGGAAAAACTTTTTTCCATTTGAAGTAAACTCTCAAATAGTCTGTTTTCTCATTATATGAATACTATTCTAAGCATATATCCTCCTACAAAATTAATACTAAAAATTGAATTAAAGAAAGATTCTTCAAGGTAAAGGAAAAAATAGCATTGGAAGAGGAAAACACAATACAAAATCATAAAATAACTACAAAAAGAATTTTTCTGAAATTAACTGATAGTACTGAAAAACCACTTTAGCACACACCTTGTAAACCAGACTGTAAAGTGGTACTAGCAGACTGATAAGCCTACTACTTCATCCACACTAGAGAATGACCCCATCTAATGATTCAAAAATAAAAATAACTCATTTACATATATACATATATAATACTTGTATCACACAACGAAGCATCCAAAGAAACATTTGCTTTTTATGATAATATGTCTAGGCACAGAAACAAGGCAGCACTAAATTGAATTTTTATTCTCAAGAAAAGTCATTGTTTTATAATTATGCATCCATTTTCTTTCCAAATTACCTTTTTTTTTAACCAGGTTATTTACTAAATTTTTAGACATACACAAAAATTGAAAACCAAATTTCTCTCCAATAACATGGGTACACTAACAGTAATTTCTCACAGCACAATTATTAGAAATTTTTTCATTAAATTTTGCCAGTTCTAATTTTTTGCATAGTTGTAATACCTAATGTATTTTTTTCATGTAAATGCAGTATAAAATATGGACATTTCAGAAGGAAAAGCTTCAAGAAACTATAACAGCAAAGGCAAGACATTTAAAAAGTGAAAAATAATTCCTAATTAGCTTTGATTACTTCAAACACTTGGCTATGCTTTACAGTTTTTATAAATTATCTTACTCTTTGAGGCAACTTTCAGTCAATCCAGTCATAGTTAGAATAACAGTGTATCAAGGCAGCTTGTCAGTCAGACCCTTCTGCTTCGTGCATCTTGAAATATTGATCCTTCAAAGAAAATACAAAGAACTGCTCACTCGACTCTCAAGCAACACCTGTAGGTGATACAGCCGTATTAGCACAACACTGTTCTGGATTTCCACACATAAAGAATCAAAAATTGCTATAAATCAACATTAAAGGCCAAAATTATTTTCTCAGACATACTAATTTGAATTGAGAGAGATGCTGTTGTCCAAGGATTTTTAATTTTACATTAAATTGCCTTACTGCTTATACACCAGAGAAACTGTAATATAACTAAGACCCGACAGTACTCTTTAATCTTTAATATATAATTAAATTTTGGTGGTTTTTCAATTTATCCAGAGACTTAATACCACTTAAAACTGTGCTTTGTTGTATTCATTTTAATCAAATGTTATTTTAATTGGGTCTGTAAGGACATGTAGAAACTGCTGCACCACAGGGAAGAAACTAATTTTTGATCTTCTGTTCTTACATCTCTGAAACCAGCCTGGTTTCCAGTCTCACCTTTAACTTCCCTTCAGGCATTATTCCCTAGGGTTCCATAGCTTCAATTCCCAATTCTGAGTTGCTCAAAAGAATAACCTATCTCAAAGCACTTCTGGAAAGCAAGACTTGTGGAAACGGGGATGTCTTACCAAATTTTTGGTATTTTCTATGGGAAGAAGTTGAAGCCTAAAGTAGGGCTCCTTGGAAATGCTTCATGGAGCCAATGTGTGAGTATACTACAAAGTTGGAGTACCTCCTTTCAAAATGGACAAGCAGTTGTGAATATACTGCACCTCTCCCTCCCTCATCCTGATTTCTCCTAAGCTTCATTCCTTCTCAAAGACAGACAGGGGCTGCCTTTTTTTCCTTCACAAAAGCTGTATGTAAGATAGCCAGGTGCCACCAGACTACTCTCCACATTGCTGAGAGTGTAGTTATCTATGAAGAAGGGAAGAATCATAGAATCATAGAATAAACTGGGTTGGAAAAGACCTACGAGACCATCAAGTCCAATCCTTGACCCAACACTGCCATGGTTACTAGACCATGGCACTAAGTGCCACATCCAGTCTGGCAAATAAAGCCCATCAAGGGAAGAATCAGACTTTGAATAAGAACAGTCTACCTTATAGTGAAAGAGAGGGTTTGAGACATAACTTTTGTCACTGTCAGAACACTAAAATACTAAATTATTAATACCCTCTCACAGAGAGCGTTACAATAGCTGAGACTGGGTTGCAAAACCAGGGGGCAAAATTAGGGCAGCCCCTTTCCCAGCCTTCATTCCTTCCTTGCTTAGCAAGAACTTGACTCAAGTTGTTTCACTCCAATGATTTGGTAAGTAGTTCACCAGTTTCTAGCCTAAACAACAGGTTAAATTCATGATTATATTCCACAATTCAGTTAAGTTCAAATTGCCCAGGTAACATTTACCGTGAAATTAATATCTTCACTCCCTGTCAGAATCAAATTTAAAGTGGTAAATCAACTTTGATCTCTAAGTGTATGAACACAATGTTTTTCATTAAAGAGATATTAAAAGCCCTAAGGATGGGGAGGGGAGGGGCAGAGTGTGTTAAGGTTTTCTATCTTTTGTGGGTTTGGTTTGTTTGCAGACGGTTTTTTTTTGTTTTGTTTCACTGGTTGGTTTTTGGTTTGGTTTGGTTTTGCAGTGGGGATTTTTGTTTGGTTGGGTTTTGTGTTTTGAGGGGTTTTTTGTCATTTGAGATCCTGGAGCAAACTTTTGTACTGTAATTTAAAAGGAATTGGATCACATTTATGAAAGGGGTTATGTCACATTAGTTACCTGTGCAGCAATCACCAGACAAGAACGACAAAAGAAACCCTTGCAAGCTTCCTTTTCCCAGAGGAAAAAGTGGAAAACAAGCATCAACATATTTAGGGTTTTTCAGCAGAGCATAGGAATACTTTTCTTATAACCCTGAACAGCAGAAAAGGGAAAGAGTCCATGTCTCACATCTTAAGGTGTTTTGCTTTTCTCACATTTGAAATATGAGTGGAACACAAAGGGAACAAACCTGTTTGTACCCTTATCATTGTTTTAAAAATGTTACAGGTTTCCACAGTGCATCACCAGGATCTCTGTATTCAATCTCATGTCTCATTTTTCACTTCATCATTCATTCTGTAACAGGAGCTGATTGCTGTAAAAAATTAATCACCTGGAAATATCTTTCACAAAATCACGGAGGAAGTAAAGATGAAGTAAGATCTTTTCTCAGTCTTCTTTAATCTTGATAATGAGTTCCCAGCATTAGGCTGGGTGCAACAAATTAAATGCATTTTGACATATAATGCTTGATGCTGGGTAGTTGCCGGGTAAGATAATAAATTTCTGCTTAATTAAACCACATTCCTTTTTTTTCCACAAGGGCTGATAATCTAATGGCTATTTGCAACATTGCCTGATGTATTCACATCAGCATATGCTGGGAAAAGTACGATATACCTTTTGATTAATGTAAAAAACCAGAATTTCCAGACATAAAGCCAACAGTTGGCATGACAGAGAACCCTGAACTTCAAACATATGCTTTCTCACATGTTTAATCAGAGGAAGTTTACCTAAGTCACTACACTGGTTTAGCAGAGATATTGAATGTCATGGGGAAAACAGAAAGAGGAAGGAAAGATTTGAAGGTTTAAAAAGGACAGAAGTATAGTTAAAATACTTTTTTAACAAAACTCAACCACTTTAATGTATTTGAGTCAAGATACCCGCACCAAAAAAAAGCCTCCAGTAAAATCTGAGCTGAGGAAACAAATACAATTAAACCTGACCTAACTTGACTGCTGTGTAGAAATGGACTTAGCTATAGAATTGTTTTTGCTACTATAAGAGCATTAAGGGCCAGGTTAGAAAAGTAGTTTTCCCTTTAATTGCCAGCAATCACTGCAGTCTCTTGATCATCGAAGTACTTTATTAGAAGGTACTATTCAGTACTTAATCTTCCATATATCCTACATAACTGCAGGTATGAAAAAAAAAAGGATGTTTGCAGAGACTAGAACAATGACTTTTTTTCTTTGGCTTGCTGGGCAGAGCCACAGAATTATGCAGCAAACTAATTTCTACAAATTAAAATAGAACCTGTTGGGGGCGACGGTGTCTGTATGAAAAGGTGGAATTAGGGCTCTGCATTTGCTGGCTATACTCCCTTTTTTTTCTTGCAAGTGCAGACCACAGAGTTCTCTCCAGCATTTCCTTTTACTGAAATGAAAATGTTGGTACTTATACTTAATGGTGAGTTTTCACACTAGGTTTGCCCTGTTCTAAGGACAAGTAGTTGTCAAGAAGATATGGAGAGGTCCTGCACTCTTCTGTTCCTCACTACAAGTTCCTGCCCTCTTTCCTCACATGTAAGAATTGTAGTAAGCCCAGTGAGCTACATCACTTCATTGATCCAAGAGAAAACAAACTGCTGCAAGAAAGGATTAGGTTCTGACATGCCAGAGATTTCCCCAAAGGAACTCTCTCTTTTGGATGACAGCCAGATACTAAACAAAGCATCATATGAAAGTGTACCCACAGCCTAAGTCTTCATGGATCTGAGTGAGGTGAATGTAATACTGAAGTACTGACATCACTCTAAGTTGACTCTTCCTCCCAGTTCAGCACTGGTGAGGAAACCTCTGCAAAGCCAAGGAAATTTATTTCAGAAGTAGAGTCAAACATCTGAAAATAGGTATTTACGCAATTTATGCACTGTTGTTTTTCTAAAAATAATAATTTTAAAAAATCAAATAAAGATCCTAGTATCTCTGACTTACTCCTTTTAACTCTGAACGGTGAGCCCACAGCATTAATTATGATTTTTCAAATCACTACCAACTACATAAAGATTAAAATATGTTCCTCAAAGACAGCCTCCCAAACAGGCTTTCTTTTCATCTACTTTGCAATTCGAAAGAACTTCTTAGAATTGCAAACTTACTGCTTTTTCCCAACGAACTCTGTTAGTCTTCAAATTTCATTTATACTTGGCTTTTTCATTCAGAGTAATCAGCTGTCCGGTATTTTGAACAGCTGATTATTCTGAATGAATTTTATTCAGACATTCTTTTCTATGACCTTCAGAAAGGACAGAGTTTCTTCATGTCTCTGTGATTAACAGTCACACTTTCTTTTTAAGCTACTTTTCACTACAGCATCTCATTTCCTGACTTTAACAGAATCTCACGCCATTCAGTAATTTAATGCTTATAATTATGGAAAAACATCAGATACATTTTATTTTGAGATAACTTGCTAGAATCCTTGTCTCATGTTCAGCAACTTCAAAATACACAGTCTTTAACATTTTTTCACATGTTCAGGACAAGACATTGGATAAAGCATGACATAGGATTAGCCTGTAAGCAGCTGGCTATCAAGAGGCTAACTTAACAATGGGAAGGGATTCTAAATTCTCCCTACCTACCAGACAGTTAATTAGGTGCAGAATAGGTTTTGATAGCTTCTGATCGTGTAAGTAATAATTTAGAATTTATCTACTTAATCTCATACTTAGTCTTTTGATTCCTCCTGCCTTCTTTCATGATCAGCAAGAGAGATGTGGCTTTAACATTCAAAGGCTTTGGTACTGTTCCTCTCTTTGCTTCATGAAAGGAAACTCTGGATATATCCCATTTCCTTCTGGATGGTAACGTTTCAGGTATAAATACATTTAGCTATAGGATGCTGTAAGCAAACAATCCTACAGTCCTCCTACCGTTAGAAATCCTGCACTAAAATTTGTACCTCACAGAAAACTGACTCCAGATGTTGCAATCCAGCTAAAAAGAACACTAACTCGAACTGAGTTCTACTTTACTTATGTCACTCCACAGGCAGGGAATTGCACTAACCTCAGTGGAATCTCTTCTAACACACGTAGGTAAGAAGAGAACAGAATGGGGTCTCCTGCCCTCACACGCTTCTTGTCACATGTCTGTATCACAAGAGCACAGCAGTCTGTATAGTCATACTGGCTCTTCTCTCACCATGTCTCAGATACATTTCACAAGATGAC